GTTGAATGAAGAGGGGAGATGATACGACTTTTCTCAGGACACTTTTCTAGGAAAGTTTTTTGTCTTGGTATCCCCTTTTTGTGATAGTCTTCTAATTAATATGACAGGCTGCTAGTGTCCCTTTGGTTATTAGGACTGGAAAGCAGCTTTGTGTTTCATTCTTCTCCTGTCCTCTTAAAAGTCTGCTTGCCTACAACACAGGTCTACGCTCTGGTCCTCTTTTTGTCAAAGCCTTCCAGGATCCTGTGGTCAGAGGCTGGGAAGCCAGGAGAGTATTTGTCATCTGTTTTCCCAACTTCCATACCGAGTGAATTTGATGTGTATTCTGTGCTGTTCTAGTGGTTGTGACGCTCTCGTTCCTGTTGATGCATTTATTTTGTGATTTTTTTTTTTGGTCATTTTTACAAAAATAATGAAAACGGTTAAACAGAATAGCTGTGGTCCTTGGCCTTTCATGGTACAAAATAGCTTTTGCAGCTGAGGGTTTTGATCAACCACAGAAAACTATTACAATTGTAATCTTCTGCCCTACATATTGTATGCAACCAGAGAACCGTTTCAAGCATTGAGATTTGCCAAACCCTATGGTTTTTGTTTGTAAAAAGAAAAAAAAAAGTGTCTTAAATGTGTTCTTAGTGTTTTGCTGAATATGGAGATCTTCGAGTTCAGTAATCTCTCTCTCCTTCCTTTAATTCTTTACACTGGGCTGAGGTGGTACAGAAAACAATTTCTCTTTCACAGAGATACTCCCTTTTCTGTAGTTTTCTCCCCTTCTGTCTTTTTTTTTTTCTGGCAACTGCAATCTTATAACCTCTGTACCCATTCTTTATCCTCTCATCTGTTCCTCGTCCCCATGAGGCAGCATTTAGGAATGTGCTGATGTCTGTCTTCAGGAAACATTCAGTGGTTGCACCACACTGATTCCTTGGCTGTAGCCTCATTCACATTTTCAAGGAGCTAGTGACTTAGATGCTGTAACACCTGCAAGACTGCATTTGGTTTTAATTCTGGCTTAACTTCTGCATGTATTTTTACTAAGTATTTAGCTTTTACTGTTAATTGTATTTAGTCTGCTATTTGTAAGCTTTTACTTAATTAGCTTGTGTTCATCCAGCTGCCCCTTGCAATGTTTGATGGTACCAGTAAATTTCAAGGGAATGTAAGGCTAAGGTAAAGGTAGAATCTCAAAGTATTAAGTTGCGCTAACAAACATGCCAGAGTTTTGGCTGGCAGGTGGAGAAGGAAAAGCTGCTGCTAACATTTGCCTGGCCCTCTGGAAGCTGAGAGGTAGCGTGTTGGTTTTGGTTCTCTTTGCGGCCAAAGGCCGTGATCATCTCAAACAGCCTACCCAGAAAACCAGGCAAAGTGTGTGGAGGATGTGGGTGTGAGCTTTCAAATTGCAAAAGGCAAACTATAGGAAAACATATTTCTTGCTTGTCTGGGGATAATTTTATTGGTGTTTTGAAGGTGAAATAAAGCAGTAGTAGGTCTGTTGTAATGCAGGTTCTTCTGTAGGGACTAGTCTGCAGCAAATCTGGTACCTAGAGTAAGATTTATCTTTCTTAGTGCAGAATAGTGAACTTTGAAAAAGGGGCAAAAAATACTATTCTAGAAACTGTGATATAGTTCAAAAAAGACAAAAAGAATTAATGGTTTCACATCATGGCTGTCTTTGTTGTTTGATGAAGTCTTGCTTCTGAGGTGGTGTTTCTTTCAAGATTCTTGCCATATATGTTACTGCAGAGCTGATTAGGTTGGATTGATGATGATCTTGCAAGTACAAGGTCGGAATCAGAAATGCATGTAAATGTGTTATCTGGTACCTGTATCTATGCCTTATTTTTCTTTAATATTTTGTATAAAAGCTAGGGATACCAACTTCAGTAAAGTATTTTAAGATCATTGAAGAAAAATCACTGTATTTGTAATGCAATGGATAGTTTCAAATCAAAGAAGAATACTAAAAGACTAAGACGTTACGATTAAAACTCATTAAAAGTACTTCCCAAACTGAACATCTGCATTTGAGCTATTTTGAGAGATGGTTGCACCCGGATACATAAAACTACCTCCTAGACGTTACAAGATGATATAAATTGCTTGTGCTTTTCTTTTCATGGTTTAAAGACTGATACTTATCAACAAACTTGTTTATAAAAACTGTAGATGAGATTATAAGAGATTATAAGTGGTCTTTATTCTTGTTTCCTTTACAGCATTGAATAATTACCTTTGAATTACTGTTGTAGCTCTCTTCTAATTCTTTGTACTGGATGCTCCCCTGTGTCCTGATATGCCCTCTCCTTCCTGCATTTTCAGCCTCTGCAGGTTTGACAACATGGGACTAAAATGAGGGAGTTTGCCTGGAGCACAGCTCTGTCATGGTTCTGGTTGAGCTGATGTTAACACCAGTACAGCTACTTCTTGCTATCAGTCTTACGCCCTTTTCCTTTTGAATAATCAAACAGAAAATTGAGTGCTTAAGCTAAGATAAAACCCGAAAATCCTTTTTGACTGGTCTGGACTAACAGGGGGGACTTTTTTTTTTCCTTTTCTTCTTTTGAGGATGCCCTTGTCCTGTTTTCCTTCTAGCCTTCAGTTGTGTTCCTGTCTGCGTCTCCTCTTTGTCAGTAGTGGGTGGCTGATCCCTGCATTGGAGCCCTGTGGAGCTGTGGATGCTTCTAGCCACCTCTGCCAGTGGGGGAAGCCCAGCCGCCCTTTCAGGGCCTAAAGACTTCTGTGCTACCCTTTGCATTTCCATGTATGCTGGGGTAGATAGTGATGTGTAAAAGTTAAATGAAGTATTTATTAAAACTGATAAGTAGGACTAGTTACTCCAAAGTGTAAGAGAAGCACTTTTTTGCATGTATTTGAGTTAGTTTTCTGTATTGAACTGATAACTCACTGTGGGTTAAGTGCTTCATAGTGCTCATTTGATGGGGTGAATGAGGGCAATGGGGAGTATTAAAACTTCCTTTTTGGTGGTAGCTAGCAACCCACTTGCTTGTCTGTATGCACATTCATAGATCAGCTTAGTTTCGGCCTACTCCAAGCACCAGTATAACCAGTTTAAGAAAAAAACGGGGGAAGCTTAGGCTATAATTTGAGCCAGTGGTGCTCATGACAGTTCAATCTTCCTTCATGTCCTAATCTCTTGCAGCTCCCTCTCATGGCCCATTTATGCAGTTACATAGTGAACTGGATGAGAGAATTTATCTAAACCAAATTAACTTCCCCTTTCAGTTTGCCACAGGGCTGCAGAGCACATCCATGTGAGCACAGGGGAAAGAGCCTCACAGGGATCAGGAGAGGCAGGACTGCAGTAGCACCAGCTTGCTTTGACTGAAGTCATTCGAAGTAGAGCTGAGGCACGTAACCTGGTGGTTGCTGTTTCCTGCCATGTCATTCAGCGGAACTGATTTGTCCCGCTTTTTAAAAAACATTCATAAAAACTTATGACAGCTGTGTGTTGTCTGTAACCTAGGAAATGCTTGGTATAGTAATTGTACTGATACTCTGCAGAAAGTTAAAATGAAGGATATTTAATTGTAATTATTTTATCTGTGTCATGAAAATCAGACCATAGAAGCAAATTAAGTTGTGAGCTATTTGTGGTTTGCATTTTTGTTGTATTTACAGAAGACACTTTGTTTTCTTTCTTCTGCTATAGACCAACTAAGAAGTTTTTGGGGAGAAAGATAAATCTTTAGTTCGGATTCTGTATATTGCTCATTGTAATCCTCTGTTTCGTTACCTGATTCCCCTAGTAATATCACAGAGTCAATACTGTGTAACCTCGTAATGTAACCTCATAGCATTAGTAAACTTCAAAACGTGATGAGTTAGAGATGACTAGAGAAATGTTAGTCTCTGTTGCCTTTTGATCTAGAAGTAACTGCAGATGCTCTGAAAAATAGATAGTGTTTGAAAGCGGTAGGTAACTTAAATTCTGCTTCTTTCCTTAATTTCAATTCATCACACTTCTAATTTATTTCATCTAAATTTTTTATAAGCAATTTTAAAATTAAATTATTGTCACTCAAAATGGCAGTGTATCTGACAGTAGAGTTTTCATAATGTGAGCATCATAGCTGATGCTATTCTGAAGCATAATACCAACATGAAAGGGTGAATAAGTAGTGTGTTTGAGGAGGAAAACCAGGTATTTGATATAATTCTGTTGGACTATATAATGTTCTGAAGAAATATCTTTTAAAGGGTTTTTAACTCAGAAGCTAAGAAGTAAAAAGCTGTGCTAGATAAATTCTCATCCCTTTGTTTTAAAGAAAGTGGATTTGGAAATGCAGTATTTTTTTCCTAAACGGTCTGTGTTCTTTAACTATTCAAAGTTGCTAGCTGTATTCAGAGTTCTGAATTCTGTTTTGAGACAGCTGAAAGCAAACTGCAACTGTACTTTTAAGTGCAGAATTCAGACGGCAGCATTTGTTCTTGTTAAGTTGAATTTCTTAATGAAGAAACTCCTAGATCCTCCGCTTAAGAGGCTGCCTAAGGTTTTTTTAAAGAACTGAAGTCTTCGTGAAGCAATACAAATTTCAGGTTGTGCTCTAATGTGTGCTTTATTTCTCAACTTTGACAGTAAGTAAAAAAGCCAATTTGTGCAGATAATGTACATAGAAAAATACTAGTATCCTGAAATAAAAGTAGTTCTCAACCTTTGTGCAGTCTGTATGCAGACCTTCTGTTTAGTAAGGCAGAAATTAGAATGTGCTGCCAGAATTTTCTACATTATTTTTGGTTCATTGTGCACATTGAGCACAACAGAAATATTCAGGGTGATGCTCATGTTTGTATCTGATCAGTTTTAAACATCTTTTGGTCTGTGTGGTCCTTCCATGGTACTTTCTGCTGCTAGTTTGTGACAGTTTTAGTATACTAGCATATGTTATATAAACAACGCTGTGTTATTTCAGTAGATTGACTTTCCCTGATGTGTAGATAAAAAAACGGTTTTTCCTTCTTTTTTCCCCCCTCTGTTACAGAAAATTCTAAGCTGAGACATGTAGAAAAAGATGTTTTGATTCCACAAATAATGAGAGAGCGAGCCAAGGAGCTGTGTTCAGATAAAGTGCAAGGTAAGAGTCAAGTTTTCATTGGGGGATCGGATGTATTCACTTTTGTGCCCTGAATATAATGCTTGGTTTTGAAGTCAAGTAGTCAGAGAATGAATATGTATGATCTACATCTTATCTGTTCAATGTGAAACCAATAGTAAAGTGTATAAATCTACTGTGTTGGCTTTGGTTGCTTGGTGATATGGACTGTTTTCCAAAATGACTTGTTCTCAAGGGCTGTGGAATTCAGTGTGATATAAAACTTTCCACATCTCGGTCTAGACTATGTGATGACAGAGCAACGCAGGAGTTACTATATTCCTGTACGTAGTATTTCATACTTAAATAAATGGAATTGCCTCATGTGAGCCTTTGGTTAGGGCCTCCTTCATTATGATAAATGTATTTAAATATTTCCAACTAACTGCATCCTTTCCCTGCCACAATATTTTAATGATGTGTGCACATAAACACACTCATGTTATTAGACAGATGTTGAAATAGGATGATGCAGTCCACTTTGCATATTTTGATTTTCTTTTGAAGAGTACTGGACAGTAACTCTTCAGAGTTGGGTATCACCACTTCTTCTGACACCCAACTGTTCATATATTCCTGGAAGAAATCTGGAACTTTCTGAAGTACCAGAAAGAGCTACTTATGCACAGGTTAGCCGAGAATGTTGCTGTAAGAATGGAAAAAACAAGGTAGTCCACGGAATTATTCTATATTAGTGGCACGCTTTCAGTGGAGGTCACCTGCCTCTTGTCAAACAGATCTGTGCTCTCTGAACTTTTTTGATTGTGCACCCCATCAGTAAAAATTCCGTGAGTGCACAATCCCAATATATGTATATTTACCACATTTATGGTACCACAGTACCAGTATATCGTGTACATTATAAAACACAAAAATAGAAATTTAAAAAGATGAGATGAAGATTAAATAAACAGTACTTTAAAATAATTTTTATGTTTATCTTCCTTGATGTCAGTCATTTCTTCCAAACTAATTGGAAGGCATTGCCTGTTTATATTTTTAACAGATAGGTTCAAAAACCACTGGAATTCTCATTTGGAAGATTTTTTAATAGGTTAGAAAATTCTGTTTCTGTCCTTTTAAAGTGTACAGATACGAGAGGTTTTTAAAGGTGACAAATCACATTGTGTTCAGCAACAAAACCAAAAAAAAAAATAATCACATAATGATGGAAACATTTCCAAACATCCGTTTTCAAAATGCTGTCTCCATAGTATGAGTTTCTTTTGAAAAGCAGTTACTGTGTCACTCTTTGTTAAAACGTCACCTTTACCTTGAAGGGACACATTAAGGGTGTTTATTTTTTGGAAGTATCTGCTAGGTAGCAAACTACTCACAGCCACCTGTCATCGCTGAAAAGGTCAGCAAATTTGTCTTTTTGTAAAAGAAAAATGTGTAAAGTTTGACAACTCTTTCAAGCACTTTGCCGCAAGCTAGCCAGGAAACCTCTGTGTCCTGCAAGAGATTTTCATGGTCCCTCCCCATCTCATTACAAAGTCTGCTAAAGATGCTACTATTCAAAGGGCTTGTTTTTATAAAGTTAGCACATCGATGTCATCCTGCAGCACTTGGTGTGCTCCTGGCTCCGCCTTCTTTGCTGCAATAGCTTGCCTATAAGTGACGCAGAGGAGGAGTTCCATGTGCAGTGCTACCTCTGTAACCTTTCTCTGGAATCCCTTTTTTATCCCAGTCACAGCAGCCACTCTATCAGTGGTTACACTTGCACAGTTTATCCATAAAACATTGTTTTTTATTGAAGAAGCCATTTCCCATTGAGAACATATCTTCTGTGGTGCATCTCTCCTTTAGTGGCTCTCACACACAAAAAAAAAGTTCTTCAAATACCATAAGGTGAGAGAAGTTAGAAACATCTGTACTTTCATCCAGCTGTACAGCAAACCTCCCACACTGTGTAACTTGCTCTAATACTTGGTTCTTCAAATCTTCAGCAGTGCCTTCTATGCATCTTCCAACAGTATTTACTGATGGAGTGCATTTCAGTTAGTTGCCATACTGTTTTGTGTGTATTTTTACCATGGCAGGAAGAACAATTGTTTCCCCAATGGCATGTGGCTTTTTGTCTTTCACTGTTAGCTAAGAAACTTCAAAGGAGGCTTCTATACATTTATCACTATGTTTAGAGTCAAGCCTAGTTAAAGTGGACCAGCATATTTTCAAGCAGCTGTTTTTAGGGGTTCCCCAAAAGACATAAAGGAATGCTGTTACAATAATTTTGAGATGAGTAAGTGGGAAAAGAGTTGGGAATATCTGCCAAAGTGGCATCACATGGCAGGTAACTTCCAGTGCTGCCAGAAGGACTTAATATACCTTTTTTTTCATTTGAATGATAGCTCAATCATTTTTACTTTGAACTCTATACCTGTTGGGGAAAAAAATGAATAGGAAAAGCAATTACAGTGATGTGGGTCATTGAAAGAGAATATGAGTTAAAAATATTTTGAGAGCATGGTATTTGTATAATTGTCTTTGGGGGTAAACCAAAGGAGGGTGTGTGTGTTTGTTTTTCTCTTCCGAACTTTCTCTGTGTAAGGTGAGGACTTTGGTTTCAGCATCTTTTCTGTGGCAGCAACCAATATTGGAGATTATTGAGCTGTGAACTGTGGACCATTAGCTTGCAGCTTCTCCATGTTTTTGCCTCCATGAATTTTAAAGCAAAATGCAGGGTTTGGGGTTTTTTTTGTGTTAGGCAAAGCTGTGATTTTTTTCTTCTTTGTCCTGAGTAGTGTTCAGTTGTGTATCTTTAGGAGAATGAGGTTTGTGGATGCATCTGTCTCCCCCTCATTCCTCTTGTCACCTGTAAGCCAGCTTTGATCAAATTGTGTGGAAGTTAGAGGTAGAAACTGAATATTTCTGATGCAATTTTTATGATTAACTAGACAAACAAACCCCACCTTCATATCCCTATAAAAAAAAAAAAAAGTGGTAGCATCAGTTCATCTGTTTTGTTTTACACCTTTTAGTCTTGGGGTGGGGGGAGGGGGGAGGAGACCAAACCATGGGAAATGAAGCTTAAGCAGTTTTGTGAACAGGAGAATTTATCATCTCTTAAATCCATTGTGAAATTATTCCTGGAATAAATTTGTCTTGTTAGTACAGAGGGATAGGTGTTAATCAGAGTAAATAGGCTATGGTTTTTATGCTGTAAACAATTATAAACTATGAACATAAGCTGTGTAATTAAGTAATCAAAACTCCTGCGATCCAGTTTGTGTGCTACAGAGTGCACACATGTGCACGAAATGGTGCTGTTTACACTAAGTGGCATAGCTACTCATTTAACTTGCTCTCAGTGTAGGATTTCTCTGCTTTGTGTTAATTTTGTTTGAACAACTCCTATTAAAATACCTTTGTTTCATTTTGTCTTTAGGAAATTGTGGTAAATGCATTGATAATATTGGAAACAAAGCTATTCTACAAGTATGAGCTTTTTACAATTTACTTGGTCACGCTAGGTTCATATCTGTCCCTATGGGGAGCCCCTATACTTTCAATAGTGCTCTGCGTGAGCACGGGGGTCCATCTGTATACAGTCCGTTACCTTAGCCTGCAGCTATACCACCTAGAGCTGTGTGCTTATCAGAGCTAATAATGCAAGTAGTGACAGCCTGTCCAGCACGTGTTCAAGAGCTATCCAGGGAAAAGAAACCCTAAGGGTTAAAAAATAAATAAAAAATGAAGGTTTTGTTAACTCAAGAGGTGATCCTGCTACTCAAGCATGGTTAAATAGGTGACCCATTGCTGTGCTCGGGTGTTAGCATACCAGAGTAGCTTGGAGGTGAAATAAGCATGAAAATGTGTCCATCTGATAATTTTTAAGAATGATTACATATTGTGTCTGGTTGTATTTCATTTTACTTCGGTTATTTAAATTTACCTTGAAGTCTTTTCAGATTGTTCTGGTATAGTTCTTGTGTGTGCTGTATGTTTCTCAAGAATTTAGTACATCTTACTTGCAGAATAATTTCTGTGTGTTTAAGATTTCCAGGCACTTTTTCAGTGAAAGTGGATGCATTTGTGATTTTGTTAAGAGGGTAAACATGCTTTCTGCAAAAGACTAGTCAATTTTCCATGACTATTTGTAAATAATGCTTTACTGTGTTAATATCCATGCATTGGAGGTATGTGAAATTGGGCTATTACAGGAGTATCAAAAGTGTCGTAAAAACCAAGCAAATAAAGAACCCCAACAACTTTATCTTACAGGAACTTTTCACTGTATTTGTACAAACTGTAGTGTGAGTTTGTCCAAAATAATACTAAATCTATGTATTTCTGTATCAGTGTGTCCTTGGTTTATAAAATTACGTGCTTTCAAACTGAAGTAGCTAAAAGGAGCGTTTATTTGCCATTGCGTCATCCATTGCTTTTATGAAATAATTTCTTAAGCAAACTTTTTCTTTAAAATGGTCAAGTTTTTGGCTTTAATTTCCAGCGATAAAGTTTGCACTCGACTAAACTTCTTTAAAGCAAAATCATAGCAAATTTCAGGAACCTGAAGTTAGCGTTTTTCATCAGAAGGGTTATCTTTAGCTTGTCAAGACTTTTGTAGTTTCATCTGGTCATGCTGTGCTTTCCATGACTCCTCTATGCTCTTAAACAAGAGACATGCACTAAAATCCTGCAAGAGCTTTTGTTGATCTTGATCATACCTACAGAAATGTTTGTTCCATTTCTTAAGAGCACTTCTGCTGTTCAGAGTTACAGATTCTGAAATTTTTAACTTGGTGGGTTTAGGTATAGGAAAACCATTGAGGGCAGAAATACACAAACAGTAGTACTTTAAGGATTGTACACTCAGTTCAATTTGATTTTGGGTTACCTGGCTTGGAAAATAAAAACAGAAACAGCTGACTAACTGATAGGTTGTGGGTTTGGACTCTGGAGAAGTCATCTTAAGTTGAGATCCCAAAAAGAAAGTACAGGATCATTGAGTCAGTCATGAGACCATAATTTGGTATTAG